CCGAGCACCGAGTTAAAAACTCGTTTCCCGGGTCGATCTCAAGGACTGGTCAATCGAACTATATTATGTGTAATTCAATTTCTTTTATATATATAATAATGCAGAAAATTAATCCAGATTTTTGCTTGATTACAACTAGAAATTTACATAACATTACAGAAACAGAAGAAAGACATTAAATAACAGAAAGTCAACTGGAAAAGCAAAACAGTAAATAATAGAAAGTCAACTGGAAAAGCAAAACAGTAAATAACGGAAATAATTTACAATAGTAGTAATAATAGTAATAATAATATTAATAATAAGAGTAATAATAATAGTAATAATAATAATAATAGTAATAATAGTATATAAACAGAAAGTAAATTGCAGAAAGTAAAGTGCAGAAAGTAAAGTGCAGAAAGTAAATTACAGTAATAATAGTAATAATAATACTAATAATAATAATAATAATATTTCTATATATATATATATGCGATAAGTAATTGGCAGGGAGTAAAGTGCGTAAAGTAAATAAAGCAATAAAATTACAACAGTAGAAATAAGCAATAACATTAAGCAATAATAGTTAATATTTATAACATATATATAAATATATATATATATATATATATATATATTAATAAGTATCCACAACTATTATTATTGTAGTAATAATATTCATAATCATTCCTTTAGGAACAATAAGAATAATTACGACTGCAATAACAATAATCGGAATATAAATTTATAACGTCTTAACGGAACGGAATTTACAGAATAACACTCGGATTTTAACTGGATAAACACTCGAATTTTAACTCACAACATAAAATAAAATTACACACACAAGTGTTTCAAGTACCAAATGAAAATAAAAACAAGAACAAGAACATCAAGAACACTAGAAAGTGTTTGTACTAATTCTAATATTTGTATCTAAGAACTAAAGCTAAAACTTCCTTTCCGAACTCCCCCTTAAGACCTCTCACAAATGATGTATTTATACTAGTTCAAGAGGGGACAAAATCACATCAAAATCATCTTAAGATCATTATGCATTAATGGCTAGCATATCTATCAAAAATCAGCCCAAAATCTTCCAAAATCCGCCCAACATCCATGTTTGAAAAGTGGGCGCCGCCCATGTTGAACAAGACTTGGCAGCTTGCGCGGTTTTACGGTTTTGGCTCGTACGGGCTCGTCCGGACTCGGAATTGAGTTCCGTTTTCTCCTACGCGTAGCTAACGAACCCCTCTTCAATTCAATGTCATATACTGGCCATAATTAGTTACAAAAGTTGCCCCAAAGTTATGCTGAAAAGTGGCCGCGGCGCGAGGCTTGGACAGCTTGCGCGGCTTTACGGTTTTTTCTCGTTTGGGATCATTCGGACTCGAAATTTAGTTCCGTTTTCTCCTACGCGTTACTAACGAGCTCTTCTTTCCAGCTATGCTCAAAAGAGCAATTTATCTTGTAACTCAAATCTTCACGGGGCTCGATACCAATGCGTCGGAAACGATAACTCTCGAAAATCCAGACTTATTATACCTGAAATTACACCAAAAACCGGAAAAACACAAAAACACACAAAAATACACGAAAACACACGAAAAACCACAAAATACACAATAAATACTAGAACAACAAAAATAACCAAAAACAACTAAATGGACCGAAAGACCTTCTAAAAGACCTAAAAATGAGGGAAAATAAATGTAAAATAACAATAAAAAACGTAACAAAAATAATCACAACAGCGGCAAAGGCTCGACGGCGGAGTTTCGTCTCGCGGAGGAGGAGGAGCGGCTGACGAGGGCTCGACGGAGGATTTGTTGCTGGGAATGAGTCGCGGCGAGGAGGTCGTCGGCGGGAAGTCGCTACGCGTGAATCGCCGGAGCTGTTGGGGTCGCGGCGGAGGCATTGCGGATCACCGGAATGAAGTCGCCGGAGTAGCTGTGATGGCGGAGGGCGACGATCGAGGTCTTATGCGAGGGAGATGATGATGACGGGAATTTGCACAAGAGGAAAAAGGGACGGAATATATCTTTCTCTGCTCTTGTGATCACGATCGAGATGGGAGAGGAAAATCAGATTTGCAAGAAGGAAGGAAATGAATGTTTGCTACGGGAGTTTTCTTCTGAGTTACGATCGAGCGGAAAAAATTATAAAGCTGCTAGTGTTCTCTTTATCTTGGCAAGCAAGAAAAGCTCACACACGCACACACGGGTAGGGTCGGGAAATGGAAAATCGGTTCGGCTCTTGGGCTGGTTTGCGCACGCGGGTTCGAGAAAAATAAATCGGCTCTCGGGCTCGCTTTATTTCTATTTTACGAACTCGACTTATCCCGAAAATATCTCGGTTCCAACGCTCGGCATTCTAAAAATAAAATCGGATATATATTTATTTATATCTAATACACACAATAATTAATAATAATATTAGTAATAGGCATTTAAACATTTAATGACATTTTGGCATTCAAATAATTTAATAATAATAATAATAATAATAATAATAATAATAATAATAATAATAATGATAATAATAAATAAATAAATTCTAAAATAAATCTCAAATAATCCACGAATAAACAGGGCGCTACAGTGGGATTTTCGCGGAGTTTGCTTACCTGTTGTGGAGGAGGGGTCTTGTTTGTATGTTTGTTTTGTTGTTGTTTTGTTCATGTGTTTTTGTTGGTATTCCTCTCCGCTTGGTGCTTATGAAGTCGATGACCGCTTATATCGACCCTTACTGGTTGCCAATTAGTAGAGATGTTAAACTGGCTAGCCCTAGCGGGCTTCGGGCTAAATGGTCCGGGCCTAAAAAGCCCGGATTTAAACGGGTTTAAATAAAAGGACCTAACCCTAACCCTAGCGGGTTTCGGGCTAAACAGGCTATGCGGGCTTTAATAATAATAATAATATATAAGAAAAAATCAAAAATAAAAAGAGTAAAAAAAATATAAAAAAAAATAATAACGGCTAGTTAACGAATGTTTCAACGGTTATTTAGTATTTACCATCTATCACTACGTAGTATATGTTTCATATGTTTCCTATAAGTCGTTCTGATGGGCTTAAATATTTTGGTTTGAAGTACAATAACAATACTGTTAATAATTATCTTTCATAATCATAACAATCAATTACAACTCATACTTACATGTGAAGTGGAATAACAAAATTGTAATATACAAAGAATCTAAGAGCATATTACTTACTCGATGCAAACATTTACACCGCCCAACCCTAGTTAAACGGGCCAGCCCTAGCAGTTTTCGGGCTAGCCCTAGCGGGCTTCAGGCTAAACGGTCCGGGCAAAAAAAGACCTGATTTAAACGGGCTACTAATAAAGGGACCTAACCTTGTTTTTTTTCGTGCTAAACGGGTCGAACCGTCCAGCCAAGGACCATTTAACATCTCAATCAATTAGGGTGAAGGTCGATCATCTCTCAAGGTGTTTGACGGAGTGGTTTGTAGTGTGTTTTTTTGTTGTGTTGATATTTTCTCGCGTAGAGGAGCGTGTATTCTCCCATACGGGAGCTTTTTATTCTCCAATTGTGGAACTTTTTAGTGTAGTTTTTTTGTTTTAGTTGTGGGTGCGTTGTGAGCTTTTGTTAGCTTCTAGGCGATCTTCAGATCTGTCTCCTACTTGATGAAGCTCAAGAGTTGTCTTTTTCAACTGTCGGGCTGTTCTCTAAATTGTAATTATGTGTTTTTCTATAATATTTCTATCGTTCTGACAAAAAAAAACTCTAATTAAAAAAAATCATTTGAATTGGATATATTTGTATCCAAACAAGCCCTTAGGCTCGCTCTTTATCGGACCTTCAAAATCCTAGTCCCGAGCCCATTCTAATTTGAATGGGGGAGGGGAGGGTGGGCCGGACCTGCCCACGACACGGTCCAGGCTGTTTTTAGAGCAGATGCCGTGCTGCGAATACCCCAATTCTGCCTCCGCTTACCTTTAAACAAAACAGAAACAGGAAAATGTCTTCTTCCCCGATGGACATGGACGCACCACTCCCCAACGGCGGCCACTCCACCGCGGCTGCTTCTCCGTCGAAAGTGGCGGAGTCCTTGAAATTGGAACATCAGTTGCTTCGTGTGCCCTTCGAACATTACAAGAAGACGATCCGCGCGAACCACCGCACGGTCGAGAAAGAAGTCTCTGGCGTTATTTCCGGAGTATCCGACGCCGCCGATTCCGACCTTTCTCGAGATGACGCTGTCAATCGACTCAATTCTTTAGTCTCCCGATTGCAGGGCCTCAAGAGAAAAGTATACAATCTATCTTTTCTTTTGTCTGAATTAGCATCACGTGTCGTGTTCCTTTAATTCCGTTTACCGCCTTTCGAGTTGCTTCAGATACTTTTTTAATTGGTTTTGGTTTGTTACAAATCTTGAATAATCTAATTATGTAAAGAATGACACACAAATCTGAGAATGCAAAAATCAAGATAATATCAGAATTAAAAAAAAAAAAAAAAATCGTTGAGTGTCTTATGTTTTCCTTTGGAACTTGGGCCATTCTCTTTTAGTTTCCAGCAATTGTTTTTATCTATTTCTTCAGTTATCAGTTGAAAATGTTACGTGGAGAGGATTGCTTGATTTTGCAGTTATAAGTAAACCGGCACATTTGTTATTAGATTTGGAGGTTGAATGAAGTAATCACGTTGAAGTTGGTATATTGAGTCATTTAAACCCTACCTTGAAGGATAACAGTCTGTTTAATTCTACCATATATTTAAGTTGGTTGACTTGAACAATATTTCTTCATTTTCTGATTATGGAATCAGTTGGAAGAGGGAAGTCGAACAGAGCACTTGCAAGCGCAGAGATGTAGAGCTAGGCTGGATCATTTAGAATCTGCAGAAGTGGACAATTTTCCAGAGTGGAATTGCATCCGTTTGAAGCGAATACTTATTGATTACATGCTAAGAATGTCATACTATGAAACTGCTGTAAAGCTTGCAGAGAGCAGTGATATTCAGGTGAGAGTTTTTGTCATATGTTTTAGCGTCATGTGGTTGCCTTTTTATTTAATGGTTAGTATTGTTTCATCAAATATACGACTTAGTTGTCTTACTTCACAATTTATCAGCTTTTCTATTTCCTGAATAAAATTTTCCCTGTGTGTGATGTGCGGCCACAATTGATGATTTACTCCCCAGGTACTGGTGAAAACTAGGCAAACTATTGTTTCATAGAATCAAGTAGAATTTGGGAAATGATTTAATTTAGGAGGAACTAGACCTTCATTTTGTGTGGTTTGCCTAATCTTTTGTTGATGCATATAGTGCCTTCGTGTCTGTATTCTATCTAACAGCTCACATTTTGGATGACCTTGGATCTATATTATCAGGATCTCGTTGATATCGATGTGTTTCTTGAAGCAAAAACGGTTATTGATGCTCTTCAAAAGAAGGAAGTAGCCCCTGCATTAGTCTGGTGTGCTGACAACAAATCCAAGTTGAAAAAGTCCAAGGTACATGTCTAAAATGTGTGTTT